TTGCTTAGAAAACTCAACCTTTATTGTGTCAACTCAATCAGAGAAAGGTGGAAGAAAATGAGATTGAGAGAAACAGTGAGAAAGGGGAAATGAGGTGCTAAGGCAGAAGGAAGATGTAACAGTGATCTCTAATGTTCCATGTAAAGGTCCCTTACAGGGTTCTGAAGTCAGGGGCCATTTTAACATGAGATGCATCCAAGTAACTGCAAAGCTGAAAGTCTTGCAGAGACAATTATTTTTAAGTGGCGGCTCAAAACTAAATTAAATTAAATATTTTATTAAACGTATTGCCAATTTTATCAACTACTTGAGATATTGACTCGATGTATTGTAGATGTACCCTTTGGGACTAGGCTCCATGCTTACTTTTCTGTTGCTGTGATAAAACACCACGACCAGTGCAACTTATACAAGAAAAGGTTCATTTGGGCTTAAAGGTACAGAAGAAGAAGAGTCCCTGATGGCAAAGAATCATGGAAGCAGACATCTTTCAATTCAGTTTCTGATAGAAATTAGAAACATCTCAGGAACTTGTGAAAAGGATAACCCTTGTTAGAATGTGGTAAGAACTCAGGTGCATTGTGCCCGAGTGATTTGTGGGAGGTTGAATTTGTAACGATTTTCCACATTTATCAAGAGCTATTTCTAAGAGAAGTATTGAAGATTCAATTGGGCTTTCCCTATTATTCAAAAGGCAATGCAAAAGCAAATAAAAGTTAAGGACTGTTATGTTAAAGAGAGCTAGAATTTGAAGATCTGAAAATTACTCAGCACATAAATATTGAAAATCAATTCCTATTAAAAAAAAACATGAAAGTGGATAGAAAATGATTCCATCAACAAATTGCTCTGACATTAACCAGTCAAGTCACATGGAAGCCTATAACAAAAAATGCATAACACCAGAGGAAACACTGCCCTTGGGGACAAAAAAAAAAAAAAAAAAAAAGCTGTCACACTTCTAATTTTTTTCTGTGTCAGACAATAGTATTATCCTTAGGAAATAGGAGGACTAACTCTGCAGACAATATACCCCCATCTCCACCCACAAGGGGCCCAGGCTCTGGGCTATTTCCTCCTGGATTAAGAGGTGGCCACTTCCTTGTGCCTCAGGAGCAAAGCCATTCTGTAGAATCACAGAGCCAAGCTGCTGTCAAGAAGACACTGCCACCCAGTGGTCCCAGTGTCTGAGTCTTGCCTTACGAATTCTGAATATGATCAAGACCCAGAACTCTTCTTTTATCCTAATTTGTCCAAATTCAAAGGGAAATGTCTGTGCTATGTCTGTCTCATCATTATATTTTTAGAAGAACATAATTTGTCTGCTCTCACAGGCTCATCTCTATATCATATTACACAGGACATGAATATTAAGAGCCAGGGCGTGGAATGCCAAGGACTGAATTGTGTCATTCTAAAATTCGTATGTGAACCCCTAATGCTCAAAGTGACTTTATTCAGAAATGGGATATTTAAGGTGATACATTTAATTGAGGTCATAAGTGTTGATCCCTGCTTATGATTAAACTTGATCAACAGTTCAATTGAACTGAGAAGATCCTAGAATATTAGCAACACACACTTCTACATGTATCTGTGAGTGGCACAGTCCCAGAGACTGGGCAGAGATCTGTCCTGAATGTGGGCATTACAGGCCATCAAGTCCTCCTGGGGACAAAGAGATGACAAGCTATTTCTCTTCTTTGTACTCACCATAAGGTAAGCAACTTCTTTCTTCCCTGTCTTTCCACCATAAGACTACACTGAAGTCTTAGAAACTATGAGTCAGAATCATTCTTTCTGTTTTTAAACTGTTTCTCTCGGGTGTTGGTCACAGAAACCAGGCACTAGCATGGACCATGATTCAGTAGAATTGGTCACTTTGGGAGAGGGGAAGAGCCACCAGTATATGCAGACAGGAAAGGCCACAGAAGGAAAGTGAGCATTGAAATCTCACTACGTATACTTATAATCAAATCAAATCATCCTTTCACTACTGCATATTTTGGAGTTTGACTGGTAGCTCCATCACTAGTGTGTATACATTTGGAGTTCTTATGTTGCCTTGTAGGATTTTAGGTCCTTCTTTCTTCATCCTGGTCTTTGTTCTGAAGTATAAATTTCCTAAGGTTAAACAACTGTACTGCCTTATTTATGTAAATATTTGATAGTTCATCTTTGCTACTCTGAATTACAGCTGGTTGTGAACCACCATGTGGGACTGAATGTAGGACCTTTGGAAGAGCAGTCAATGCTCTTAAACACTGAGCCATCTCTCCTAGTGCAAGAGCTTCTCACTTACGTGATTAATTTTGTCTTCTTGTATGGTTGATTTGGGGAGTTGGGTTTTTTTGTTTTTGTTTTTGTTTTTGAGACAGTGTGTTAGGTAGGTTTATCTAGTGCAAAAAAAAACAGAGAGAGAGAAAGAGAGAGAGAAAGAGAGAGAGAGCTATAAAGGGGGATTTACTATTTACTTATAAGAACTATTCTTTTTAGGCTAGGAGCTGGATAGTCCAACTGATACAAGATGATTCTTAGTCTGTAAGGTTAAGATATCTTTATTTGGATAAACACCAGCCAAATGCAATCCAGAGTGTGCTAGGGGCAGCAAGGCAGGGAGGCCAGAGAGAAGGGACTCCCATGTGTCTTGCCGCCTCTTAAAACCCTATCTCAAGTCATCCTAACCTCACCTTGACCACGCCCTGACAGGCGTGGTCAGGCACACCTGCAGCCAGCTTCTAGCAGGTGTGGCTTACACTGTCCCCTACAATTCCCCTTTTAGTCTAAAAGAGGATTAAAGCTTAACTGTGTAAAGTATCCAAAATTAACAATCATAAAGGTTAAATACAAGAAGATACAGTAATCTGCTATGACACATCCTGACTATGTCTACATCCACTAAACCCTAAGGTAATCTGAAAAAAGGTGTCCAAGCCTGAACACCTCCTTCTTATCTCAACCATAGACAATAGGAAGCTATCTCTAACTACGCTTACACTACCCTAATAGACAATAATAGGGGAAGGAGGCATAGTATCCTCCAAAAGTTACTTCCGTGGGAAATGGGACCATGGTAGCCTCATGGGGTCCTGTGGGGAAAAAATGTTAGTATGGTGAAAGTCTCTAATGGTTATATCCAGTCCATGGTAGATGGGATTTTCTTGATTGAAGATCTAGGTTGAAACTTGTCAGTGAGCGGGATGACCCCATGCTCCAAGGTTCCCAGAGGAAGAGGGAAACCTGCCACCATACCCGGCCCTGTCTGGTGGCAGCTTCCATATGCTCGCACCATCCCAGCACTCTTGGGGGTTGGACTCGGCACTCCAGAGATGACAAAGACAAATCCAGATAAAGAAAAACCTCTAAAGGTTTACACTGCATTAAAAAATATATGTAGGCTTTGTGAAAGAAAAAGTAACAGGAGGAAATAGAGTAGCTGGGTGTGGTGGCACACACCTTTAATCCCAACACTCCAAAAGTAGAGGCAGGTGGATTTCCACCCTGTCTCAGGAAAAAAGAAACAAAAGGAAGTAAAAATAGAATAATAAGAAAGCCACCTAAAGATGAAAAATACACAGAGCTGAGGAAAGAGTTACTGTTGCTAAAATACATTTGATTATAAATACTGATAAATTAATCCAACTTATATATTTTAAAAATGCTTTGACTTCAAAATTTAAGTCTAAGGAAAGGCTACTTGGGAAAAAAAATTTTGCTTGTGTTTCCACAGAAAATGAAAAGCTGTGGATTCCTTCCAGACTAATATGATTTGATCAAGCAACACCCCCTGAAGCAGTGACCCAACTTATCCTACATCCAAAACAGCTGAGATGATACAGCCTTACAGACTACAAAAACAAGGACTTGGTCAGATTTCTGTGTTTTATCATGATCCCCATGGTACAGACATTGCCCCCAATCAGCAGGAAGCAGTTTAAAATGAATGACGCCCAAATTCCCAAATATTGTTTATAAATGTTTGTTTTCATTTAAATGGGGTTTGGTTATAAATGATAATAAGCATAGTTAATTTCTTTTTAAAGAAAAAAAGGGGTAATAGGATATAGGAATGAATACTTTGCATTGGTATGGATTTTCATTTATTGATAGAACTTTAAGGTCAATTTTGTTATGTGTACATGTCTCCTCTTGTTTAGTTATTGTGTTTGTATAGATCTTTTAAAATTATATCCATAATTAAATACTAGTTATATAGTCACCTATAATAGTCAGAACTTATAATTAGGTTAGTTAGGTTGTCTAGATATACAGAGATGTATTTCAGATGGATAGGTATTCTTCAAACCTTTCAAAGCCCTACAGAATTTATGGCATTTAAATGGTTTAGGGTTTTTCTTGGCAGTGAGACACAACTGCTCCTGGCACACCAATTATGCCAGAAAGGAGGAGAGGCATCGAAGAAACTCGTTAATGGAGTTTGCATTCAACATGGAAAGATTTAGCCATTTGAGCAAGAAACTGCTCTTGCCTGGACTGTTTGTTGCTGTATAAACTGAACATGCAGAACCCAAGTGACTGCTGAACTTACAGAACAAGACAGTACTGAAGGGTTCCTGTTGAAATGGAGAAGTGTGCCAGACACACTGTGGCCTATAGGCTGAAGATGGATGCCCCAACATTACAGAGGAACTTTGGGTGACTGTCCAGGTAGCAAGATGTCTCTGTCAACTCTAGAGTTTATATATTATCCTTCTGTGGTCTTTGATAGAGTTGAAGACAGATAGTTATGGTTACAGTTTTCTTCAGTTATTATAAAAGATAAGTTAACCTTCTTTTTATTTAGACAGAAAGAAGGAGATGATGGGGGAAAGTGCTTCTGTGTATGTGTTTGTCTTATTGGATGATAAATAAAGTACTGTTTGGCCAATGAGGCAGCAAGTTAGGTGGGCACAAGTAAAAAAGAAGATTCTGGGAAATGTAGTAAAGAAGCAGAGATCCACAGGAAGTGACATAGCAGGGAGACTCATATATAAAAAAGGGCAAGAAGGAAATGGGCCCCTTCTCTCTTCCTCCAGAGTCACCATGTGATCTCGGGATGAGGACGACAATGGAAGGTATCCTAAATAAGATAAGTCTTATAAAATATATAGATTTATGATAATTAACAGAGCTAACAGATGAGAAATCCTAGTCATTGGCCAAGCAGCATTTGTACCTAATAGAAGTCTCTGCGGATTATTTGGGGCCCTAACACAGCAAGTGGAACTCACTCGGGTGGCAGAAAGATTTATCATAACATCCAACACAGTCAACTGCACATTTCGAAGGCTGACAGCCTAACAGCCACTCACTCAATCCACAAACCTAGGTGCCTAGGTCCCAACTTCCCCTGAAGGCCTGGAAGGTTTCTGGAAAGTTGCTGGTCTTCAGTCCACATTGAAAAACTGAGGTCTGCTGTCTGTGAAGGACAACAGCAACACTACACTCACTACCAATGAGTGAAGTCAGACTGGAAGTGCTGCTTTTTCCATAGCCCATGAAATTGACAGTCAAAATTAACCATCATAGATAAGGTCTTGGTTCACAGTCTAGGCTAGCCCTAAAATCACTATGTTGGCCAAGCTGGCTTTGAACTTGCAATCCTCTTTCTCTCTGAGTCACAAATGCTGAGATTATAGGTATTCACACCATGCCTGACTAATTATGTGATTTTTAAAAATATCATAGCTGCAACAAGTTTATTTCATCTTAATAAAATAGTAGTTTTAAATTTGAAGAGACCTTGGAGAACATGAATTCCAACTATATTACTTTAGAATGAGCAGAAAATGAGACATCTGTTTATTATTTCACTGTTAACTAGTTTGCCAAATTGGGGTTAGAATCTATATCTAATGACTTATAATATTGATAATAGCAAATTAGAACAGCAAATTGCATTACAGTTAGAAAAAATGCTTCAAACAAGTGTCATTTCAAATACTGCATGTTTTACTGCAGCAAATGTTTGGTTTCTTTGATCCTTTCTAAGGAATGTGGATATGTGTGAGAACAAATGAACTTTTCCACTACCTGGATGCTTTGATGATTAGAATAGCTCACTTCTTTAAAAGATGAATGCCAGCATTATTCTTTGACCAAGGTGATTTTATTACATAGCAATCAGTAAAAGTCACATTGACTGAGCCTATCAATTAAGAATGGTATGTTCTTAACTCAGTTGTGTAATTCATTGTGTCTTGGTTCATAAGCAATTTTCTCTATCCATTTAGACTAGGCTTAAGAGCCCATCATTCATTTCTATAAAATTCCTGTATTTGTACAGTTGTTTCTCACACTAAACTACTTATCATAAAGATATGAAATGATTTTTTAAAGTATTCTAATTTACTTCAGTGGCTGAAACTGAAAAATTTAACACCTATTTTATTTCATGAGCTGTTAAGAATTCTGTATTCTTGAGCATTTTCTTCCAAGTGTCTATTATATAAAAAGAGATACTTGAGAGAAAAGAAATTATAATCAGTGGGAATTAGAATATAAGAAAATGAAAGATCCATTGTGCTTTGAAAAACATATGAACTCTGATTACACATAAACACATCATTTAAAAAATCAGATAAAACTTACAGAGAGAAGTATGCAGAAACTAGAAAGTATATTATCCAATAGCACAATAGTAAGATGCTTCATACAATGTTGCTTTATGTAAATGAGAATCATCAGGCTTCATCCTCAGTTGCAATGATATACTATTGCCTTCAGGTTTGTGTATATAAACATAGGAGGTGGCTTCAAAGAGGGGACTTCTGTTTGACTCAGAACTAATATGTGTCTGTATTTTTTCTTTCTATTAAACCAGAATTGTTAGATTTTTTCGGCACCTATTGGATAAGCAGAATAATTTTAAATCTCAGGTATGGTTTATTTTTCACTCCTTCACTGGGGAAGCAGGATAATTCCTATGGCCTGTAGAGCATAGCATATGATTTTATTATCTCTGTTTCTTCAGGCATTACTCAATTGTCAGCTTGATGGGGACTATGAGACTCAAGTTATCAAGAAAAAGTGCCTTATCCCAATACCAAGTAGTCATTAGAATTAATAAGTTAAAGTTTATCAAGTTACTCTGAACCCTCAAGTGTATGGTTTTGCATTAGTTCAAAGGATTATCTGGTAAGCCAAATTAATAGAAGTGAACATCATGGTAAAACAAAATTCATCTGCTTTTAGGAATTAGGTAATTATATATAATTGATGGAAAGGAATAATAATTAGTGAATGCATAGTACTTAGACAATAATCAGTTAACACTTTAAAATAATTAACTGCCTTAATGACCACTTGCAACAAAATTAATGTAGTTTGCATGAGTAGCTGGTGACAACTAAAACACTAATAGGTACTCATTATAGTACCGCCAGAGGGGCGAAAAGAATGTGGTGAGGGCAAACCTTATTTTTCATTAGTACACTCCTTATGCTTGCTTTTTTAAGGAAAGAAAATCCCCTTCCAGAAAGTAAGTTTTAATCGAATCTATGGAATTTAAGTAATAAAAAAAGTATAAATGTATAAGCACACACATACATTTGTAATTGCTACATTTGAATGTCACTCATTCAGCGCAGGTAATTTTTAAATCACCTCATTATCTTCTATGATAGTGTCTTACTCAATGTTCTATTGCTGTAAAGAGACAACATGACCATGGCAACTCTTACAAAGGAAAACTTTTAACTGGGGCTGGCTTACAGGTTCAGAGGTTTAGTCCATTGTCCTCATGGCCGAAAGCATGGCAGGGGCACACAGTCAGAAACGGCACTGGAGAGGTAGCTGAGAATTCTACATCTGGGTTGTCAGGCAGTAGAAAGAGAGAGGGACTGGGCCTAGCTTGAGCATCTGAAACCTCAAAGTCCACCCCCAGAATGACACACTTCCTCCAACAAGGTTATCCCTACTCCAACAATGCCAAACCCCCTAATAGTGCCACTCTCTATGAGCCTATGGGGGCTATTTTCATTCAAACCACCACAGACAGTTACTATTTCCTTTGTATATCTAGCCAGTCATCAACGCATCAATGCATCTGTATTTTTTCCTACTAGATACATCCTAATTCTTTGATTTTACATGTTCCCAGAACTGGATGTCTGCCTCTTCTGGATATACTGCTTGTCACATTTTATCTTATCCAAAGTACAAAATCCTGTTTCCTGAAAAAAGGTTCACAAACACGTCTGACTATAGTAGCATCTGGTCTTGCCAGTGAATTGGTGTTAATGGCCATGCACCTTTGCGTGTGGCTTCAGGACATGACCAAAAGGTAGAGAAGCAGAAGTGGCATGGGCTCTCTCTCATGAGCTCTCTTGAGTCTAGTCAACTCATTATTTACCCGTCTTCATCTGACCTCAAAAAAAAAAAAAGAATTTGCCCCAAATGATGTGTCAGATTTTGATGATCCACTGTGGAAGGCCTCACCCTATCTAGGGAGTGGATGGGGCTTGGGATGGGAGAATTAGTGGGGGGCATGCGAGGATTCGAGGGAGAGGGAACTGGTATTGATATGTAAAATAAGATTGTTTCTAATTTAAATAAAAATTTATAAAAATAAAAAAAATATTTAACTCTTATTCCCTCTTAGGTGAATCCCAGATAATTCAGGATGACAGAAAATCTGATCAAAATCAGTTGTTTCTCAACTTGTTTTTCAAATCGTATTTCATTTTTGTAGCCCACATCACTTTAAATATCCCTTGAAAGAATTAAGATTTCTTATTTTATTGAAATTAACAACTCAGATGCCCAACAATAGGATGTCTAGATTCAAAGTGGGCTGTGATCTAATCAGTATTGACCACTTATGAAAAACATTTCCTGTGGTAGGACTTTCTCTATTGGTCAGGCAAATGGCCCTTATCTACTAACTGACATGTTAGGGCCCATAAAGAGGGGTCCATTTTATCTTGCCTCAAGATCAGAGAGTTCAAACTGTCCTTACACCTATAAGTCTATAGCTTGGCTGCTATAGGATGTTTCGGCCTTGGTATTGGATGTCTTTATCTAAATAACAACAGACTCAGGTGTGTTTACTCTTGACCCTGGAGTCTGCATGGCAGGAGTGACTACCAAATACCTGGAGGATTAAGGGAAGTAAGTCTTTTTGCCCCTTATATATGATAATAGAAGTCTTCTGCCATTGTCCCCACTTTTTGGTTGGGTACTTAAGAATGTTAAAAAATAAACTAAGGGCATTCAGTACAAACCAAATCTGCCCTCCCAACAATATTCCCATGTCTCCATATTTTCTCTTAACTCCTTTAGCTATCTTTTCTTAGTCCACACTCCCCCTCTCAGATACGAACCACAGGCAAAAGTTGTCTGTCTCTGACTGCAGCCCTGCAAAGACAGCTTCCCACACTGACATCAGAAAAACAACTATGTCCTGATGGAGGAAGGAATAAGTTGAAACTTGCTATTGAGAGGACTCCTGCTTCTAAGTACTCAGCAGTTGCTGTCCACTCTCTGTAGGACCAGTGAGGAAATGATGTAGGAATACAGTTCTGCAATCATTCATCTTGGACATTTCCACAATTGCTTCAGGGATCTTACCAAGTATGTGGCCCTAGATTTGGCCATAGTAGATTCTCACAGTCTGTTTTTGGCTGAACATAAATTGGGAGTCTTTTGGGAAGTTATTTTCCTGGACTATAATAAGAAGAAAACAGATAATGAAGCTAATTCAAATTATAACATTTTTAAAGGTCTATTGAAAGTGTATCACTGTACCAAAAAAAAAGAAAGAAAGAAAGAAAGAAAGAAAGAAAGAAAGAAAGAAAGAAAGAAAGAAAGAAAGAAAGAGAGAAAGATATCTTATTTGGAAGAGGGTTTCACTTGATTGAAGTTCAGATAGAAAGTTCGCTGTTGTTGGAGATATTCTTCCTCCATCTGCCTCAGCCTCCACAGTGGAAATATTTACAGGCATGCATCATGAAGCCTGGATGTCCAGTTGAGGTTTTATCATATGAATTATACTCATACTTCCCAAGGGCTAACAAACAGCATGAAGGACAATGAAAATTCCCTATGTCTTATTTAGAGTATTAGCTACATACCTCGTACTTTCATCAAAACTGAAATCCATACATTTCACTGTGTATAAAATATACCTCTATACAAAAGGTCAAAATCCATTTCATAACATCCGATGGATGGAATTTGTTGTACTTTTATATGATGTTCCCATGTGACAATTTGTTGTCATTTTTATTATGAGTCCATCTCTTGTACAAATTGAAATCTCCCTGGATGAATACTGGGTCTCATTTTTCCCTGTTTAATCTGCTGCACATTCAGTATCTATTGTCCTGGCTCAAGACAAGTGTTTTAGCAAATGAAATAGGCTAAATGAAATAAAATTTATTTGCTAAGTTATTTAATATTCTTCTAATTGGTGAGCAGTACTCTACAATAGCTCCATGAGGAAGTGTCTTATTGTGACTAGAACAATAACTAATAGATTTCTCTACATTTTTTTAAATACCTTGAGTTTCAATCAGTCTGTTGTAAATTCCAGTTCCAAATAAATGGCCATCTTCCTATCTTAAATAAACCAGTTAACCTCTCTGACACTTTCTCAGAGATCCAAATAGATATAATCAGCCCAAGAGATAAGACTTGCACACGAAACACAACACCACAACCATATTGTATGATATGTGTCTGTGTCATATGATAAGCATGCCATAAATGTTATCTGTATTCCCACATCCTGTAAAAAGGACTGCATTTTCCTGTAGTCATCAAGACAATATAGCCTACTGTGTTTCTCAAACTGTAACCATGTGTGCAGAGGGCTAGAGAGGTTCAATAATTAAGCCCTCCCTCTTGCATAATTTAGAGTTTTCAGGCAACCTCCCCCCTCAGTCCTGTTTTTAATTTGGAGCAACTGGGTACGAAGAAGTGTTAAGTCCCACACCTTTTGAAGCTAGTACATTGAACCTCTCTCCTTTAAACCTGCTAGAAACTTCCTCCCAGAGCGCTTGGCGCTCAGCAGTGACTCTTTCAGGCTGTGACAATTTAATCAGACAGCTCCTTGTAGAATTCAGTTTTATGGGGCTGCAGAAATACCTCAGCAGCTTCTCCATTGCACTTGCTGTTTTACTGCCCACGTTCCCCAGGAAGACGGTGTCAGTTGCTTCCTGCTAACTGCTTCATAACACATCCCATTAAAAGAGCAAAAAACAGTGGGAGCAACGCCAGCAGGTTATATTTGTTCTATTGCCTGTGAATGTCTTGTTTGAAAAGTGAAAGAATAGCCAATGGATTTTATTTATAAAAATAAAATTGAATTCCAAACTGAGCTTTCTCGAGCCTCCACCCCATGAGCTATCATCTGTACCTCACAAGTCTCTGACAAGACCAAATGTCTGCTACCTCAGGCTCCTCACAGCTCAACCCACTGTTCTCAGAAATAATGAACCTTGAAAATATAGTTTTTATCAAACAATGTTTCCCAACTCCTTCATATGCAATTCACACAAATTTAATGTGTGCCATTTCAAGGAAGAAAATTTAAAATTGGAAGGCTCTCCTTTGATGAGATAATACATTTGAGTAAGTGACATAGGACACTTTCCCCTGATTTCATCCATTCCCATCGCATTTTCTAATGTAACTGTGAAACAAGTAATTTGATAAAGATCATTGATTTCAATGAGAAAGATGACATTTACTTAACAGAAAAATGGCATTCTTCCTGAGTACACCTCTGGAGATCCAATAACCACAGATGAGTAGCAAAGTGCACTGTCTTTTGGGGGAAAGTGGCCAGAATTGTTTTTTCATCTGTTCATAATGTTCTCAAATGTGCATTCAGGAAAATCAACCTCCAACCGTAACACCCTGGAGCAACCAGAAACAGGCCGGTGATAGCTAGAGGGCTCCAGTCTAAACTCCCACCCTGGAAAGTTGTTAAATATTGGAAGATGATGAACCAGGCCAAACACATCATATTGTTTTTAAAAACATAAATGTTAAGAAACATTTACTGTGCCTATTAGATCATAGACAGTACTTAGCTGTGGTTTCAAGTCCCCAAATGTGTGAATACATCACAAACTCTGGGGCATTCAACCTACTATTTCTTAATTTTCTAAACTTAAATTTTCCCCATTACTTAAAGCAATCCCTTGTGCTACTTTCCTGGATTATTAAACAACAGAGCTAGCCCTAGGGATGTAATGCAATTGGTAGGGTTCTTGGCACCATACATGAAGCCCTGAATTTGATACTCAGTGCAGAATACATTTGGGTGTGGTTGTACATGCCTGTAATCCTAAGCACTTGGAAGGTGAAAGCAGGAGAACTGGACATTCAAAGTCTTTTTTGGCTACATGTAATTTTCAGGCCAGCCTGGGCTATATGAGTCTTTATATCAAAAAGGAAGGCAAGAAGGAAGGAGAGAAGGAAGGAAGGGAAGAAAGAAGAAGGAAGGGAGGGAGGAAAAAGAAAGAGAGAGATAAAAGGCACCATGCGTCCAAAAAAGAAGGCAACCAACAGCTCTACCCAGCTATAACATTTATGAGCCACCTCAATGACCAGCATAGCACAATAACCCTAAGGGTACAGTAGTGGCATGTAAGCCTTGACATTAACCAACAACTCTTAACAGGACTCAAGACTTGCTTAACAGGAGAAAAATAATGTTTAGTACTGGAAACCAAGCTGAATACTCAGTGCTAGTTAAGTTGTGACTATTAGAGGAGTATCTACAACCTCTAATTTACTAAAGCCAACATAATCCCTAACAACAGTCTATAAACATCTGTCCTTATACTCACAGGTAACTGTAGTCATAGACCCTCATCAAAGAAATTCTCTTTTCAACAGACAGACCACTACAGAAAACCACAACCAACCAAACTGTGGGGTTCTGGACCCCAGTACCAGTGGATAACATCTACAAACCATTGCACGCCTAATGCTTAGGTAACATTGTAGAAGAGGGGAGCTGAAGATCCAGAGGATCAGGAAGTCTGCCGGGAGGTTGTCTGCTAGTGATATTGGGTGCTACACCTATGAAGTCTCACCAACATGACTGCCTAAATGTGAGCTGAACAATGATGACACCAATGAACCTGACAAAGGGGATGGAGAAAAGTCCGGGAGGCCTCAACCTTACACAAAGAACTATAGGCAACTGAAGAAAGCTGGGAGCAGGAGGGTTGATCTTCCTTAGGACTGAGAACACCAACTGATTGTCCAGTGCCAAGTGGTCAGCCTGGAAAACATACATACAAGTAACATTATCCACACTGAGCAGTGTACACACATGCATGCCCATGTATACACAAGCACGCAAGCACATTTTATGCATACATGCACACAATAACAAGTAGTGAAGAAAAGAAGCCATGAATGTGAAGGAGACCAGAGAGTAGTATATGGGAAGATTTGGAGGGAGGAAAAGGAAGGGAGAAATGTTGTACTTATATTGTAATCTCAAAAAAAAAATTTGGCTTTTATTTTTCAAGACAGGGTTTCTCTATATTCTTTTTTGGAGCCTATCCTGGAATTCCCTCCGTAGACCAGGGTGGCCTCGAACTCATAGAGATCCACCTGCCTCTGCCTCACAAGTGCTAGGATTAAAGGCATGCACCACCACCATCTGGCCAAATTTTTTTTAAAGGATGAATATTTCTTAAAATAGTCAAGGCTCAGGGAACTCCACAAGAGAAGGGGAGGAAAGAGCATAACCCATCAAGGGTGGAGGACACCTAGAAAACAAGGCCCTCTAAATCAACATGATCAAAACTCACATGAACTCACAGGGACTGAAGCAGCAGGACTTGCATATGTCTGCACCAGATTTTCTGCATATATATTACGGCTTCCACTTTAGTGTTTTTATGGGATTCCTGAGTCCACTAACGATTAAGTCTCTGATTCTTGTGCCTTCTCTTGAACATTTTTTTTTCTTCTTTAATTTTTTTTTTTTTGGTTTTTTTTTTTTTTCTGTTTGCTGGTCTTGTCCAACTCCAATGTGATAGTTTTGTTTCATCTTAAATTTTATTTTGCTAGGTTTTATTACTATCTCTGAGAAGCCTACATTTTCTAATGAGAGCAGAAGGTGATGGGATCTGGATGGGAGAGGAGGTGGAAAGAAACTGGGATAGCAACCATAATCAGTATATATTATATGAGGAAAATTCTATTTTCAATGAAAAGTAATGAACTTTTAAGAAATCTAAAATGACTCTACCTAACACAATAATAACTGCCCTGGGATAATGTGTGTGTTTAGCATAATGATGTGATAACAGGGAGCCTTATTCCCATCATCGACACCATAGACCATTGTTTCTTACCCTCAGATATCTTCACCACTGGGAGCATGTTTAAAGGGAATACAATTTGAAGGAACAAAAGAAATTAATTTAGCTAAGCAGTTGACTGTGAACAGTGCATAATTGAAAGAGGAATACTAATTGCAAATCACTAAATGGTCCAGTTCATTGTGCTCAATTTCCATTTTCCTCGGGCTATGCATAGGTTAAAAGTAAAACTTTCATTTTCAAATAAAAGATTGACAAGTAGTAAGTAGAAAATGAGACTTCTCCTAAATTTAGGTCAAACACTGATTCTAGTCATTCTGGATATTCCACCTACAGAAGCAAATAGCTGGAAATAAGGAAAGTCAAGTGACAAAAAATGATGAAAAACACCAAATGACAGACAAATCTCATAAACTCTTATTAGACAGTGAAGGTGGTAGAGTAAATGGTATGAGGTCTAAAGCAGGGTGGGTGAGATATACGGAGGTCTTACTTTAGCATGGATAATTACCATTTATCCCCTTATTTTCCTTTCTCAATCATATATGCCCTGACTCAGCGTGCAAGGATGTCTTATGCTTTTCTGTAATACATGGTACACCTCAAGAGATTAATGATGTTTTATTACTTACGATGGCATTTAGCAGCCACCCATGTTATCAATCAATTTCTCCAAAGGGTGTGCATGGTTTTGTGTTTTAAAGGTAATCTTTGAAACTAAGCAGTTTGCATATTTCAGCCATGCCTTTCTGAACCTTGCCTTCTTTTCTTTCTCTGGTCATCTGAGGATGTTGTGATACACTATTCCTTCAGCCCTGTTTCTTTTTGTCATAGTGTGAGTCTGGCATCCCTACCCCCACTCCAGGTCTTATGTATTCAAGGTTTGCTTTCTGATGCAATGATTCTTTAAGGTGGAATTTTGGAAAAGTGATTGGATCATAAAGGCTTTCATCAATAGATTAATTGGGAATACCTTTAAGATGTTTTTATATGTTTCTAAGACTCTGGACACTGTGTACATGTATCAGTCTACCATGGCCTGAAAAGGGAGTCTCATCCAAGTATGGAAGTGGAGTAGTTGGGAGAAGTCATATGGATGCTGAGAAATGGTTCCCGGTTCTCAGAAGGAACAGAAAATGCACATAAGCACAGAACCATTTCTCTACCACCCCATTGTTAATAATTTGATGGCTATTAGGAAGAAATGGAAATTTGGGAGTTAGGAACTGAAAGCATGAGCCAATGATTTATTCATTTATTTTTGTGCTATCTGCAGTATCTATCATCTCGCTATCATCTACCTACCATCTGTCTACCTATCTATCATATCTGTCCGTCTGTCTCTGTCTACCTATCTTTCTTTTGTACTAGGGGTTGAATCTAAATCTATTCATAACAGCATACAACCACTAAGCTGCAGCTTTAGAACCCTATTGTTGACATTTCTGAGAGAATGGAGGTGGTGGTGGTGGAGGAGGAGGAGGAGGAGAAGGATGGTGATGATGGTGGTGCTAGAAGTGGTGGTGGTGGTGGTGGTGGTTTTTCAAGACAGGTTTCTCTGTGTAGCCTTGACCGTCCTGAGGACTCTTTGTAGACCAGGCTGACTTCAAACTCATAGAGATCCACCTGCCTCTGCTTCCCACATGCTGGGATTAAAAGGCAGGTGCCACCACCCACTTACTTAGCAAGTTCTTAGCAAATTAATTGATGTACTGGCAGAGAAAGAGTGTACATAAAAACACTGAATATACATTTCAATTACCAGGAATAACTCATTGGAATAAAGCTAAGCAAAATATGAAGAGAGCTAATGCATGGGGGAAAAGGATGTGACAATTGAACAATGAAATCTAAGATTTGAATAGTATTTTATTTCCATATAGAAGATAATGACTTAATTCAGAGTTCAGTAACCCCAAAATATGAAGATAATTTGTACTAGATAAATTGTACCAGAAGGGAAGGCAGATAAAAAAATATGTAAAAGAAAAATATGATCTTATTCCTAAAATTCTTGTTTCCCCTTTGTTTAAAAAAAAAGTACAACTCCATTGCATTTTTGTTCATTTTGCCACTCCTATCAATGCATAAAAGTAAAAAAAGAGGAAAATTATAAACCAAACCCTCTCTTTAGCTAAACTTTAGGGAGGAAATGAGTAGGATCTGAGGCTTGAGGGGAAGAATCTGTGAATGGAGTGGTAGCTGGTCTCAAAGAGCCTCAGCCGGCCTTTTTGATCATCTTCAGTAATGACTAATATCAGTCACTGCTGGCCCTGCGAGGCCTCCAGCCCTGCTGGGTACCCATCTGAGTATTGAACTGAAAGACCCGCCATGGTTCTCAAATTCTATAGTAGATCAATTGCCTTTTAGCGTTAGCACAGCTGGTTATTAGGTTAAATGTGGGCAATTCCCCAAGATGTCATTTGACTTGGGAATGTATTGTTCACTTAAAGCACGCTGTAATGTACTGTTTTAAACAGTGTATTTCTACCAGGGGATTAACTCAGCGACCCTGCACGCCCCAAAATAACACAGCCCTCCTAGGGAGATGGTTGCTTGGTCAAGCCCTAAGTACACACTATCTGATAGTAGTTAGTTTTGGAGAAAGGAAAACTATTAAACTTACTAACAAGAATATCAGTGCTGCCAGAATTTCAGCAGAGGTAAAATAATTTTCCCTCAAAGAATCATGGTATAAAATAATGGGGTAAAACTCTTCATACAGCCTAAAATAATTCAATAAGAGGAATATGAGGTGTGTCGTGTAGTGCTAAAGTATAGAATTTAAGTTTATAAGAGAGCTTTTCAATTTTATTATTTAATATATATATACACCTTTTAAATATACATGTATATTTGTAGATGTATATGTAAATATATATATATATGTATGTGTGTATGTTAGATAAAGATTTCTTCATACCATCTAGGAAGAAAATCAAAAGCAATCTGTTATTCTCCCTTAGAAAGAAAGGTCACTACATTAAGCATTATGAAGTGTTTAATCCTTCTATTGCTGCCACAGTTTAACAGCTTGCTCCCTGGCCCCCATCTACATTATCTTCCTACAACAATGATTATATCTTCTTTCACTTTTACTTTAACATCAGAGCTTCCAGTGGGAGAAAAATCACTATTATGTTCATTTATGTATTTTTCAGATGTACTATCGAGATTTTTTTCCCAGCCTCTCTGGGTCTAAGTTCCTCCCTTTGTAAAATGGGAAACACACACACACACACACACAAGACTTTGTAACATGCCTCTTTGACTTTCTACAGGTCATTTGATAATAAGCTGATATCTTTGGAATATGTTCTACCCGCTGAGGTGCCATGCAGTTTACTTGTATAAGCTCTTTTTGTTGTTGTTACTCCCTTTGCAAAATGAGTAGAGGAGAAGAAACAGCAGAGAATCTGGAACCTGCCCCAAATGGTTGACAAGGGTAGGGAAGGTGGAAGGGAGACAAAGCTAGGCTAGGGCTGGGAATCATTAATACCAGTGAGGCCACAGCAAACAAAGCAGCAGGAAACAGACAGGCTCTAGTTCTCCTGGCTAGAGAGAAGCCATCTGGACAGAGGAAATTTGGCTGAAAACTCTTAGGAGAGAACTTGGTTTCTTTTCTCTTGTTTCCACCATGATAGCTTCATAGGTCACTGAAATAAATAAACTGAACCTGCTTATGATATAGTGTATTAAACTACTATCACAAAATACCAAATACACAGTGGATTACTACTAAATCAACACAGCAAAACAGAGTTTTATAACTGAGGAAAGCAGATCAAGTTTTAAGGGAGACAGGGGAAAATTAAACAAGAAAAGGAGAGAAAAGAGGGGAAAGTTGTTAGTTTATAGTACTTATATATTGTACTCTCCAGGGTTTGAGAGAAATCACTGGGTGTTTACTGGCATTCAGTTCAGCAGAACTGGGACCATGGCCAAATATGTTTGAAAACATGAAGGCAGAAACAACACAGTATAGATAGAGGAGCTGCTTATGACAGTGAAAGTCAAGGACAAGCTAGATGAAGAAGAGCTTTTTTCTCTCACAAAAGAGCATCAACCAATCAAAGGTGATCCACTCACCTGCCTCACACTCAAGATCTCGATCATCTTTGAACCACTCCCAACTATCTATAGCTCTCAATCCAGACTCTGGTCTCTTTCTTTCTTAGTTTTTAAAGTTTATC